TGCTTGACATCATCGGTCAAATGTGTTATTAGAGACTATGACTGCCTATCTCTCGCTGAAAGGAACCTCTCATTCGCTCGTCCGCACCCGTCACCGCTCACGGAGTGCTCCGCGTGCCGCACCGGCCGCCGCCGGCCGCCGGCCGCTTACGCGGTAACGGAACAGTGCTACTACTCCGCAACGTTGAGCTGGATCAAACTGAATAGTGCTCCTGAAAGCCCTCTCTCTGGGCTCTGCCACACAGTAGCAGCTCACGACTAGCAGCTGGTGTGGCTGTATTTGTAGCCATTTTTAGGCTTCAACTGGTCCCAAAATAGTAGCAACACCTCATGAAAATCAGTCAAAAAAGCCCCAAAAAATCGGCGCCTGCGGCGGGCTTCCTGGGGCTGCGCCCCGGACCCCCTTGACTGGGGGGACCCCCCGCGAGAGCACCCCCGTCGCCCCGGGGGGCCGTCGACACCCCAGGGGGCGCCCCAGAGATTCTGCTTTCCTTTCGTCAGGGGCGGGGACGAACCCGCAATTTGAGATGCGGAGGGCATCTTGAGTTGCAAAAAATCAACTCAGATTGCATTTTTCAACTCAGAACGCTGAGTTGACTTTTCGCATTTCAAGATGCACACCGCATTCCAAAAAGATGGTCCACGCAACCCAGGAATGCGTCGACCATTATCCTGGAATGTGCAAAATGCGTTCGTCCACGTGATTGAGCGCTGGTCTCGGAATACTCCATGCAACCTGGAATGCAATCTGAGTTGCATCCGAGGATGCGCAGCGCATCTCGGGATATTTAGCAACTGGCCGGTATTGCTCAAAATGTTCTTTTCGGACGATTTAAATTTGGCAAAATCCCTCCATGTACATACCACCGCACAGTCATGCAAGCAATGTTAGCAATAGCACAAGTTTGCGAGTGCCCTCCCTATCACCAACTGGCTCCCAGTTCCATCCCCATCATCGGAAACGAAAGATCCTTGATGTGGCTCGTTCGCAATGTTTAAGTAACTCAATCGCTTTCCGCCCACTCACTGAGTGACTTTCCGTCACTGTTTGTAGGTATAAGTTGTTGGCACATCAAGCGACACAGAGCTCACACAAAATCACAGCGGTGTGTGTGATTTTGTGTGTGAGCTCAAAACGCAGCATGCTAGAAGAGAGAAGAGCTTGTTGGTTAATAAAAATCTCTCGCATGCTACAAAAGAATTTTACGACAAAAACTCCCTCTGGGTGGGATGGTACAAAAAAAGTAGCAAAAAAGTTTCATCCAAGCCTTTTCAGTAAGAAGAAAAAGAAATTCTACCCGGGAAAGAGAGCGTGACAAATCGGGCACGACGTCTCGACCAGCGGCGCACGACCAGGCGCCGAGCAGCCCTCAAAGCGCAAGGCATGCCGGAGCCGCCATCCGCCCACTGCGGGCTGGCACTCTCCGCCGACGGCGAAGACGGCTACCGACGAGCGTGGACAAATGCAGTGCGGCGGCGCCACACAAAAGTTCGATGAGAGCACGCCTGTCGGCCATGCGGCACCTCTCGGCAGCATCTCGAATAGGTACGTGGAGATCTCGAGGCAGGCCGAGGCGGCGGCGGCGGCCGCCGCCGCTGTGTCAAAGGCGCGAGCCAAACGCAAGCTCCAGCGGCAGGGCTCCAGCGGCGGGCTGCCGTTCTGACAGAGTCCTGTGGTTCGTCTCGCGGCGCGCCGAACCGAACGAGCTCTCGAGGGAGCTCTCCAGCATTTTAGGTGAGAGCCCCTCTCTTTTCCTTCCCGGCGTCAGTTCGCAGGGATTGCGGCCGTACCGCATTTTTGCCTGACCGCGCCCAATACATGTCGCAGACTCCAGTTGCACGGTATCTGGTGACATCTTCAGCACATTTACCGGCGCGATTGTAAACCCCGCGGGGGGGGAACTTGGATTGTCGGCGGTTTTCACATTTATATTGTGAATCGGGCTCACTCGAGCTCGAGCAGGTGGGTGGCCGGTGCGCTAAATATACGCTCCGTCGCCTTCGCATGCCGAAATGCGC